ATCCCAGGGTCCTGGGATCGAGCCCCACATCGGGCTCTCTGCTCGGCGGGAAGCCTGCTTCTCCCTCTCACACTCCCCCTGCTTGTGTTCCCTCTCTCTGTCAAATAAATAAAAATTAAAAAAAAAAAAAAAAGTTAGCAGTATGATCCAGCAATCCCACATCTGGGTATATATCCAAAGGAAATGAAAATAGGATAATGAAGAGGTACTGAACTCCCATGTGTGTTGCAGCATTACTCACAGTAGCCAAGATATAGACAATGGATGAATGAATAAAGATTGGGGGGGGGTATAAAATGAAATGTTATTCAGCCAAGTGAAAGAAAGAAATCCTGCCATTTGCAACAAGGGCAATGAGGGCATTAGGCTAAGTGGAATTAGCCAGAGAAAGACAAATCAAATACTGCATTGTACCACTTCCATGTGGACTCTTAAAAAAAGTCAGACTCATAAAAACAGGGTAGAAAAGAGGTTGCCAGGGGCTGAGGGAAGTGAGGAAAAGAGAGATTGGTAAAAGGGTACAAAAACTTCCAAGCTATAAAATGAATAAGGCTAAACACCTAATGTAAAACCATGGTAACTGTATTTTATAACACTGTATTATATCATTGAAATTTGCTAGGAGAATAGAACTTACATGTTCTCACCAAAACAGATAAATAAACCAAACATGTGCGACGATGGGTGTGTTAAGACAGGGGATAACCCTTTCACAATATATGCATATATGAAATCACAATGGATACTTGAAATATTTGACAATTTTATAGGACAATTATCCCTCAGTAAAACAGAAAAGGAAAAAAAAATAGGGCTATCTGAAATTCAAGTTGATGAAACAGTAACAACATACAAATATTTATCTGCCCTTGTCTCCCCCCACTCTCAACCTCTGCTCAGGCCTATTGTTTTCAGACTTTAAAATCTTCTTATAAAAGTTAATGAACCATTAATTATTGGCACACAGACCCCTGTATTTGTCATCTTCCTCAAATTCTCCATGCTTTATTCAATCTACCAATGGAGCAGTCTACAGTAAAAAGTATTATCCTTAAAATTAAAAAAAAAAAAATTAGGCTATTTTCAAGTCAAAATAAAAATCTAAACATCACCAGAGTAAGCTTAAGTATACAGAGAATGCATTCCAAGTGAACTTTGTCTTTTTTTTTTTTAAGATTTTATTTATTTGAGAGAGAGAGAGCACAGGAGGAGAGTGAGAGGGAGAAGCAGACTCCCCGCTGATCAGGGAACCCGATGTGGGGCTCGATCCCAGGACCCTGGGATCATGACCTGAGCCGAAGGCAGACGCTTGACAACTGAGCCACCCAGGCGACCCAGAACTGTGTCTGATTTTAATTAGCAATAATCGCGCCTCGGATAAACCTCATTGGCTACGATACTGCCACTGCGCAAAGCTTGTGTCTGATTTTAAAACGCTTAGTTATTGGGGTGCCTGGCTGGCTCAGTTGGTTAAGCGTCCAACTCTTGATTTTGGCTCAGGTCATGATCTCAGGGTTGTGAAATCAAGCCCCATGTTGGGCTCAGTGCTCAGCGTGGAGTCTGCCTGGCCCTCTCCCTCTGCTCCCCAACCCCGCTCGTGCTCACTCACTCTCTCTCTCTAAAATAAATTAAATCTTTAAAAAAAAAAAAAAAAAGGCTTAGTTATTATCTCCCTAACATTTGTAAATTCCCCTGTTCATGTCAATATAAAAGTTCAAGACACTTAGAACCAAGATGGAAGCTTTATTTTAGAAACTTCTGATGTTTGGTGCGTTTTATTCGGTGCCAAATGACAAAAAGCATCCTGGAAGACATTTCTGATTGTCACTGAATTGAAAAATGAAAAGCTGCTTCACAAACATAGTAGAAATTAATATAATGAGTGAAGAACATAATGACACTTGCAAAAAAATGCCAGTGTCTTTTGATTCAAATAATCTGATTCCACCCATCAAAAGCCAGCGTTCTAATCCTATCTGCTAATATACCAATAACCAAAGCCACATAATTTTAAAATAGGTATGAAAAAGGAAAGAAAAAGTATACCGATATCATAAACTAAACCTGAAGAGAAAAATAAATGGGTAGACATTTTTTAAAACATCTAAGGCCCACATAGAAGTCAGTTATTATCAGCTGCTATCTTCCTACCAGATCCAAAGCATAAGTTTATGAGGAACCCTGTACTGGTCACTTCCAGGATCAAGAGGGTAGTCAAATTATTTAAAATGCACACATAGTAGCTAAGTTATCTGCTAACAGAAACAGTTTCACTCACACATTAAAAAAAAAAGAATTATAATAAAGGGAACATTTCTTTTCACATTGAAATTTGGAGTTACCTGCTGGCAATGTAAATGTAACAAGGTCAGTTAGAAAATAGCAAGCAAAATCCCCCTTTCTCTGATGAAGAGAGGCGGCTATCTCTCGCCGGATCTGCTCTGTCAGTTCAGGACACACCATTGCTGGAATACACTTTGCTGCTTGTTGAGACACCTTAAACACAAAAGAAACTTTCCTCTGCATCTCATTTATCATTAACAAAAGCAGAAAACAACAGTATTTAAGACAAATTACCAAACCTTCCCAGTAACTCAGGGTGTTGTTTAATTTTAAAACAGATTAGGGATTATTTCCTCACCAATGGAAACATGTTTCAGTACAACTTTCCATGAAAATAGCCATAAAAATGCTTTACCTTCTGACTCTGGAAATTCACTTCTTAGGAATTTATCCCAAGGAAATATATAAAGATTTAGATAAAAACTTATGTAAAATGGTGTTGTAAACAAAGGTTCATCCTAGGACAGGGAGGGAGGACACAGAAAACCACCTAAGTAAGACTAAGCATCATGCCCACAATAAAAGCATTCTTAAAAAACAGGAAATTCCAGCTCACAGAGAAAGAGGAAAGTACAAACACTCTTCTGCTGGGTTAAGAATACTTCGAGTACCCTGACGTGGAATAAAGAAAGCATGATATTTTTAAAGGGTTAGTTTCCACTGACCTCAAATCCCTCCCCCTTTGTTACAACTCTGAATATTTAAAAAAGCAATTGGCTTCTCCAAGTGTAGAACAGACAATGCACCTTCAAAGTATAGCCAGCCTGAAAGGAATAAATGTGAGCAGTGATGTAGTTAGTGAACGCTACAACAGAGAACTTCTAAGCAAGGGCATGGCTAGAAACTTTCCTTTTCTCTTTAATGAGGGATAGCAACTATTGATGCAAAGATATTATTTTATATTTAAGTTGTATTCCTTTTGTGGAGCTCAAGATAACTGCATACGAAGAATTCTGAAATCAAAGGTATCTGCTGGAGAGGAAATGAGTCTGGTGTGAACCCTGAGTGAACCAGTCAGCTCTGTTCTCTGTTGTCACTACAGACCAAAGCCACAAACCTGGACAACCTTCCCCACCCTTTACCTCTAGCCGCTTCAACCTTATGACTCTCAACCATCTCCTTAGGCCAGTAATTCTTAACTTAGGGCACGTGAACTTGGGAAGGACCTGTGAACCTGAATGGGAATTTTCATTAAATTTGAATCCTTCAGGGGTGCCTGGGTGGCTCAGATGGTTAAGCGTCTGCCTTCGGCTCAGGTCATGATATCTGGGTCCCAGCTCAGCAGGGAGTCGGTTTCCTGCCTCTCCCCCTACCCACGCGCTCTCTGTCTCAAATGAATAAAATCTTTAAAAAAAAATTTAAATACTTCATTTTCACTGACCTCCTGTCTATATTTTTTTTAATAGTTTCCTTTTTTTTTTAAGATATTTTTTTATTTGACAGAGAGAGCACAAGTAGGCGGAGTTGCAGGTAGAGACAGAGGGAGAAGCAGGCTCCCCGATGAGCAAGGAGCCTGATGCAGGGCTCCATCCCAGGGTCCTGGGATCATGACCTGAGCCGAAGGCAGTCGTTTAACCAACTGAGACACCCAGGTGCCCCTCTCCTGTCTATATTTAAAATGCATTCTCTTATGTATCACAAATCTAATATTCTGAAAAAACTATCATTTCAATATAATTGATTTCCATTGCAATCTTACTTTTATTTTAGGCATTTAAAAAACAGTATTATGAAAAGGAGTTCATAGGTTCCACCAGACTACCAACAGAGTCCATGACCTAAAATCCAATTAAAATCCCTGCCCCAGGGGCGCCTGGGTGGCTCAGTCGTTAAGCGTCTGCCTTCAGCTCAGGTCATGATCCCAGGGTCCTGGGATCGAGCCTCGCATTGAGCTCCCTCCCTGCTCCGCGGGAAACCTGCTTCTCCCTCTCGCACTCCCCCTGCTTGTGTTCCCTCTCTCGCTGTGTCTCTCTCTGTCAAATAAATAAATAAAATATTAAAAAAAAAAAAAAAAAAAAAAACCAACCCTGCCCCAGATACATATCCCCCAAAATATAATGTTCTCCTAGTCTCATCCCAAAAATACTTAGCTCTGTGCTCTCTCTGCAGGCACATCCCTTACTTATTTAGTCCAATCTCCCTACCGGCCCCTTCAATTCTGTCCTCTGGAGTGCCCACTCCACTGAGATGACATTCCACACCCAATTTGGTTCTTTCCCTGGAAATCCACCCCGCTCTCACCTCTCCCACAGTGCACCACAATTGGTCTATGTGTTCCAGAGAATATGGCAAAAATGATGGTATGTCACTTCCTGAATTAGGTTCCATCTAGAAGACCCTGAAGCTTCCACGTGGATCACTCTAGCATGCCCTCTCTCTCGGATCACTTGTTCTGGTGAAACCTGCCCTCTGGAGGGGCCCACGTGACCAGGATTTGAAGCCTCCCGCCACCAGTCATGCGAGTGTGCTTGGAACCAGATCCTCTCACCCCAGTCAAGCCTTTTGACAACTGCAGCTCTCAAAATTTGACTGTAAGCTCATGAGACCTTGAGCCAAAACCATTCAGCAGAGCAGCTCCTAGATTCTCTACACTCAGAAACTGTGTGAAGATAACAACTGTTGCCTAAAGCTGCTAAATGGAGGTGATCTGTTAAGGCCGTAAATAGTACCCTGGGGTTCTTTTGCCTTCCCAATGTTAGTCCCCAGATGCTCTTAGGAGGTCAGTGACTTAGTCCCTCCAACTTTCTCACAGCCCTCCACCAGGCTGAGGGGAGTCCAGGAACCCCCCAAAGGACTTGAGCCTTGATTCACAGCTGCCCTCTCTATCCTGCCTCCTGCCACCACCAGCAACTACAGCTCCACACGCTGGCCCTGCCAATACACAACGCAAATATAGCCAGACCTCAAATACTACAGAAGCTACTGCTAACTGTTCCATCCCCTGTTCCAGAACTCTGGGCCTTCTTAGCACATGGCTGCTTTTTGAACAGTCCCTTTTTTTATCCAAGTAAGGCTGCCCCTTGTTTTCACCATGACTATCGCTCAAGCCCTTCCCTTCCTCTTTCTGGTGCCTCTGGCGTCACTGGACTCTTAGCAAACTGAACGATGGCTAGCCATTTCAATCATGGTTTCAGGTAATCTTCATATTCCTTAATCCCTCCCAGTGCTTTGTACATAATGGTTCCCAATATTGGCCAATTTGAATATGCAAATATGCATATGCATACCACAGAAGACGTATAGTGACAAAATTTGAATCTACAAATGATCTGACTCTCTGCACTCTTACTCTATTTCTCTTATCATTAAAAGAATTACCTGGATAATATGGTCGCATCCTGAATCGTTCATCTGCAATCCTTTGTGACATCTACGTAGTTATCTAAGCCCAAGAGCTCAGAACCAACTTGACCCCTCTCCCCCCGACTCCCCACATCCAGTCGATCCATTCCATCTTGACTCTGTCCCCCCAGCTCTCTCAAACGGGCCCACCCTTCCTACTGCCACTGCCACTCTGTACCAGCAGCGTGCTTGCCAGCAGCACCAGCATCACACCGTGCTACCCTCCCGAGGCTCCGCCCTCTCCCATCCACAGAGGCCAAAACACTCTGATCTGATCTGGCTACTCCCCTGACCCTCTCCCTAACACTGCACAGCCTGTTCACTGCCCTAGGAACAATCTTCCAATTCCCTGGCCTACATCATCCTTCACAATGCTTCCCTTCCCAGTTCCCAATCACCATCACAGGCATGCTGAGTACCTGCAAGTGCCCAACCTCACCACAAACACTACCACCAGGGCCTCTGAATAAATGGTTTCCTCAACTTCCCTCTCTGCTCCACCCACTTATGAGGCTAACTCCTACTTCTCCTTCGGATCTCCACTACAATGTTACCTGCTCTAGGTAAGAAGGTAAGATACCCCAAAACACTTTCTCAAGTACTCCCACAGCACCTGGCATTTACATCAATGAGAACACACTCTGTACAGAATTACCTGTTTATTTCTCTACTTTTCTGGATACACACTGAAGGAAGAGCCAATGTCTTCACAATTATATCCCTTTTTAGCACCATACCTAGCACACAGTAGGTACTCAATAAATATTAGTTAAATGAATGAATGAAAGATACATCCTAGTGTTTTTTTTAATCAAACTGATGATTCAAATCTTGTGGCAAAATGTTCTATTTTAAAAGCCTAATACCCTTAGGAATTATATACTGGTGAAGTCCAAGTTTAGTGTGAATTTACAAAGGGAATAAAAGAAATCTAAAACATTTAAGAACAGTTTAGAAAAACACTACATCAAAAATGAAAACTAATGAACACACTTCCTTCATATAAAACGTTTAACCAAAATGCCATACTCACCTCTGTAAGCAGTATCGCTAGCATATCCTGCCTCTGGAAACGTATAGCCAGATGTACGAGAGTATAGCCAACATCAAAAGCAGAAGGGCGGTTCAGGAGGCGCACTTCGTCTGCAGTGAGCTGACGTGCGATGTCCCCGCCTGATGACTTGTACGCTTCTATAGCAGCTAAGTCACCTTCTACAACCCCTAGAACAAGCAGCAAGATAGAAAAGAGTTTATTTCTATTTTTCTTCCAAAAGCATAAACCGTTGCATTCACTCTAAACCCTTTTAAGTGTTTCTCTAGGATTTCTGGACCCCAGGACAACATATTTAAATGTCCTAAATATTAAGGAAAACTGATGTATTCCTCTCCCTTTAATTTCTTTCCAGAACTAGAACTACCTATTTAGGTACTTACCTTCACATCAGCGCTGGCTCCATGCTCGAGGCTTAGAGGAATCATTAGAATATATTAATTGGATCAAAGAGATCAGTAATCCTAGTATGAGAAACTAGACTTTACAGAAGACACTAAACTCCTGTCTGGTCCTGACTCTGCAGAAACCAAGGAGACGGGGATGTGCTTCCTGTTGGCTTTGGGCTCTCTTGCCCTTTACAACTGCATTTTTTAAGCTGAATCAAAACAGATGCTGAGCCTTCCATATTGCTGTTTAGGTATGAAACAATTCAGAGCAATTAAAACCATTTTCAATATAAGTTAAAGTTAGCAACATTTTGATTTCAGAACCTCTCAAAGCCAAGTCTTCCTTACACTCATTAAGTATTAATACGGTAAAACTTGAACCAGATGAGTTAGAACAAAAAATATGCTAAAATAAAACATTACAAACCAGTTGGGGGTAGAGAGATAAAACAAGTATCATTTTTCCCAATCCATAAAGAACTTTCTGTTCCCACTAACCCATGTTACTAAACTTAACACAAATTAATATTAGGTGAAGACAGTAATCCTATTTACTAAGCAGTACAGTACACATCTATGAATAAATACCCCTGGCAAATATAAAGGTGTAGATAAGTTTCAAATTTAACCACAAAGAGTGTTACACACACACACACACACACACCTCAAGACTGAAGGACCAAATAATTTTAAGTGTGTCCTAAGTTGTATCAGGAAAAATTCGTTTGTTGGGTAAAATGCTAAGACCAGCTAAAAATATTCTTAGGGTATTTTTTAAAGAGCCATTTTTTAATTGCCATCTTGAATTAGGAATTAGAGAAATAAGGGCTACTCCTTGGAGTAACAGATTGGTACAATGCAACAATTTCTCCCAGTTATTAAAAATAGCAAAACTTTAAAATAAATCCCATGTTCACTGAACACCCATGACATGCAAAGCACTGTGCTAGGCAATGTGAGAAACACAGACAGTACAAACATGATTCCTATACTCAAAACAGTCCTTTCAAAGTCATCCCATTTGTGGACCATAAAAGGCCAGCTTCAAAAGTTTTCAGACTCTGCAGTCAAAGATCCTTTCTGCAAATCTAGACCCACTCCCCATAAAAGGACACCCTGCCGCCAACACAGACATTTTTCAGGTGAAGAAATCCATGATATCAAACGAGAACACCTTATTACAGGAACTTTTATTTTCATGGCCACATAGGTTAATACATTCTTCACTATAAATGCCTAAGTACAGCTGTCACTGTGTACCACCCCCACTATGGAAAGGGCTTTAACACACTCTTAGGAGGCCCAGTGCCCTGGAGAAGTCATCAGGGCTAAAACGTGATATGGCTGGCAGGAATCATCTCCAAAGGGCAAGCCTTAAAAACAGACACAGAAAGTCCTACTTGAAATAAAAACAAATCTATGGTTAAAGAGTCAAGTACACAAAGAACTTTAAAATTTCTGCTTAATTTGTTTTAATAACAGATGAGAATAATCAGAGAGAGCTCGTAACTTTATGAATAATCTAATGTAGTTCCTCTCTTTAGAACTAAATATGCCCTGCTCTGTTTCCTTCCCTGTACATGTATTTCCGTATGAAGGCAACTGCTCTTCATGTTGGTCCTACCAAAGCTGTCACTATTCTGGGTACCTTCAGTATTACTGCGCCTTATACAGTTTTTTAACTGTAAAATATTTATAAAATGTATTTATAAAATTTCTTTATGACATAAGAAAAGCCACCCAAGGACCAAAAAGACCGATCAATTTACCTGAGAAGATAGAGAGGAAGACCTGCACAGAACATGTATACATCTGTGTACCTATTTAGGCACGTGCATGCACGCGCACGCACACACACACCTTCTTTTGTTTCTCAAAGACAAAGATGACTGCCAACCAACTTCTAAATCACCGTCTTCACTATTTTTAGCTAACTCACCATATAGCTGATATCTGGAAGAATCTCATCTTAGAAAGTCTTGCTTAAGAATTCATTTCCTCTGTCATGTTTGTAAGGGATTTCTGTAATTAGAAACTAACTAGCATAATCAAGGGGGGGAGGGTAACAGACCAAATAGCACAAGGAAGTTGACGAACTGTGCTTTGGAATTATGATTTACAATGTCACACAGTCTGCCTTCAAATTAAGCGTTTTTTTTTTTAAATACGAATAGAACTTCAAATGGTGAACTGCACAGTATATGAATTCTAGCTCAATAAAGAGGATACATATATAAAAAAAAAAACATGATTTCTATTCGTCCAAATCGAAAATACTAAAACAATTACTTCCTTCAACCCCAAACTCTGCATTGAACTGCAGATAGGGCATGCTGCCGCTCCCCAGCATGGAGCAAATCCAGGAGGGCAGAAAATGAGGATGAAGAGAATAGAGAGTTTGTACTCTATTCTTCACAGCACAAAATCCTCCAAATCTTTTAGAACATGAAAAACACAAACATAAGTATAGGCACAAAGTAATATTTTAAAGAAAAATATATTATCGTCTAATGTTTTGGGAACATAGGATTCCATTCTTTTCATTAACTATAATTAAGAACTTAGTTTCGGTTACCAGTGAGTTTTCAGCTACAGAGACAAAGTACATTTATTACAAATTTCATGAGACTGTCACTGAACAGTCCAAATGTTTAGTCTATCTTTATGACACATTGTTCAAAGACAGCCATTGATTAACGTGTCCACAGTTTCTTGACAGATGGGTTTTCACTGCAAACGGTATTTAAAAGGATCTGGCCCATACTCAGATAAAGTAAAGCTTTAGCTACCAAATGTTTTCTACTTAGGGGGGAAAAAAGTATAAGATTATATGCAAAACAACTTACAAAATGTCTTTTGAGTTCTTCACATAAGATTTTATCACCTCTAATATCAGGGTATGATAAAGGAAAGTAGGAAGAGGGGAGAAGAGCTGATAGGTAGGAAAAGACAGCAAAATAAACACAAGGGATAAAATCTCACTTCGTGTAATGACCAGGAAAAACCAGAACAATTCCAACGGAAGAGGTGATGTATACATGCTTCCTAGTTACTGACCTCTCACACTGCCTCCAAGAGAGTAACTGAAGCGTCTTTCTTGTAATGTTTTCTGAAAATTTAATAAATGTCTATTACACGTTCTGTCCCTTCTTCTTCCGTGCTATGAAGGCAAATTAAAAGGACAGCTGAAGACACTCTGAGATTAACTTTATAAAACTAACCTACAGTATCATCATACACTCAAAACTGACTGAATGAAATACACAACCAACTAAGCAGTGGTGCATAATTACAAATAATGCAAAATGTTAAAATACTTTTAAAAACATTAAGTAAATGAAAGTTACTACGTCTTACAAACTATAAAGTTTAAAAAAAAAAAAGTTCATATGGTCCTAGAAGCTGGGCCAGGAGTGGAATTTAACATATTTTGAAGCCACAGGTCACAACTCACTGGGGACTTCACAGCTACTATGGAACTCCGTTGGTTAGAATATGGAGCTGGCTCATAGATGTTTAGAAAACAGACTTATTTTTTCCCCCATATATGGCACAGTTTTCAAAGTTTTGCCTTATTTTCTTTTATGACATAAAATCATAATTGTAACTAACTTTGAAAAGAATGCCAAATGGTAAAAAAAAGCCAGGACTTACCTGAGCCCACATGGGCCAGCTCAACACTACCCTGGAGTTCTATGGTAGCTGTGACATCACAGCATGCTTTATGCTGTGGGGTCAGGGTGGACTTGGAGTCAGCTGGCACAATTTCAGGAGCCCTTAAAGAGAAAAGTTAGTTTTAAGTGGTAATGTTCACAATGTGCTTTACCATGGTCAGTAGAAAGATGCAGATGCGCTGGCTACAATGTCTGGATAGTTGTCTTCTACCCTGAGTTTAATTCACTTAGGTGGTTTTGCATATTAAAAAAAAAAAAGAAAAAGAAAAACTATACCACCCAGTAATACTTTTTCTTTATATTCCTAACCATTTGGCTATAGCTGGATCACAAACTTGGCTTAGATATTCATATTCATAGCTAACTCCTTCAATATTCAAATATGAGCTGCTTTTTAAATAAAATGACCTCAGTATTTTTAAGTGTATCTTCAAGTAGGCACAAGCTCAGTGGTAATCTCAGGAACAGTGTAAGCAGCCCAGACCACCTCCTAGAGGCATTATTCACATAACCAATGGCAGCAAGTGAAAATGTACCACTTCTATTCCTAGAATAGTGCTATAGAACAATAACCTTTTCAAAAACTGAGATGAAAATCACGAAATGGAAATAAATTCTTTAATCTATTATACTATATCAAGATGAACTTCTATTCAATTCAGTCAATAAACTCACTCCATTATGAAAACATCCTCTTTAGAATAAAAGATTCAATGATAGAGAAGTCAAAATAATCTCTAAGGCCTTCAAATATTCTATTATTAATCATGACAAACTATGCCAAATATAATTTATACTTTGGAGCTCTTACGTCTTTACATCTCTGATTAGACTGTTAACAACCCAACTGTTGTGGAAATATAAATCCCCGAAGTCATGAAAAAATACCTGAATCGATAGATACCTTCAGAAGAAAGATCTCGCCATGCAGGAAGAATTATACTGCTGAAAGCACCATGGAAGGATTTAAAAGAACAGGTCACAAAGTTATCTTTGGGAAGGGGATCAGAGATGAGGGCCAGTGTTAACAGTTAAAGAAGATGAACGTGAGTTCAAATTACAAAGGTCACTGAAAATATTGCCCAAAGAGTCAATTGAGGGGATATT